GATTGTTGTAAGAAATTTTACGTGGAAAATGTCTTCATGTGGAAAGGGCGAATGTAACACTATTCAGTGTGGCCAGAGGCTGTATGTTGCCGCCGGCTATACTGGAGAGTTTCCTGTCCAGGTGACCTAATGGTCACGATGAGACAGTTACTGGCTGACAAATTGCCTCCAGCTGATTGACGACCGTGTTAGACAAAGTGGTGCTTTGATTCTCCAGTAATCTAGTGGTCAGGAACTGTGTTAATGTGGAGGGACACCCTCCACACATCAGGGGATATATCAAGGACTGACCTGTTTTGTGACCCAATGGTCCCGAACTGTCATGTACTGACCGACAATTGTCGTCGGCTGATTGATGAATCATGATTCAGGCTGACGAAATCGTGGTGTAAGCGCGTGTTGGGTCACGTTCAGCCAGCCGGGCTATCCACATATAAGCCGGTCCGTCAGTAAAGTACGGAGAAGACGCAGAGGGACGCAGAGAGATGCAAGAAGGCACAGAACCAGCAACACCAACCAAGACCAGATCGACAGAGCAGTCCCGGAGAGCAGCCCCAGGTCTCTAACAGCCGCCACGACTAACAACCACCCGTCAACCTAGCTCCCACCAGAACAACACATAGGGACAAGCTCTTGTCGCGTCTGGTCGTGCCTGAACAATCACCACAATCTCCTCTCACAAGTCTCTGCCACGTTCGCCCTGGTAAAAACGTAATATACTGCAAAGTATTGTTTACTGTTATTAAAGAAACCGCTATAACTCTGAACGACTCTTCTGTTGTGCTACAACTTTGACACTTTCATCATATATATATTAACCAATCACAGCCTTGGTCTCACATTAGTTTGGTTACAAGCCTTGATCGGCTTTGTAATGCACTGTCATCAATCAAGTATGTGAGTAGGTCGGCGATCAGACCACGTTTCTTCCAAGAAACTAGAATATAACAAAAGTTTGTGTCCTTATTTATATTCTACATGTATAACATCCAGTCGTAAAATAATACACTGTACTGTGATTAATTTACACTAAAAAGTATTTTCATTATTTTATGTATGCATTTTTAATTATCGTCCACGATCAGTGTTCAGTAGATATAGAATCTACATATCCCATGCTACTGTGAAATAATTGCACCACTCTTATATTAACTACCATCATTAAGTAATGTCAACAACAGCAATGAATATCTGTACAACACTCTTACCTAGAACGCAGGGTCGGGATCGTGGACCCCGATGACAGCGGTATGTCGAGGAAACACTGTATAAGATGTATTTCATCTACAGTTAAGACTATCACAAAACACAGTAGGTTTATCTCCTATTATAATTCCAGCATACTTATTCAAAGAACACCAACCAACCTGGATGAAACTTTAAATTTGGCTTATGTTTTCATAAACAGTAACATTATATTGTATACATGTGCTTCTAGATGACAATTTTTGTTTATAATGTTCCGAGAGTTGGAGATTAATACAGTATTCCGTCAAAAACATATTTTGGATAGCATAGAATGGCACAATACACTCATTAAAAAATTAAAGGGTTGGAAACAAACATTGTCCTATTTCAAACCCAAAACGGTTGCAACACACAATCAGACTCAAACATGGCATGTATCAACAGAGAGCTAAGAATCAATTGCTGAGAATAAAGGTGACCTTTTTTGTTAAAGTAATTTTTGTCATCCTTTTTATAGCAATAAATTTCTTGATTGAATATATATTTTATATATAAATAGTTTTAAACGTTTATCTTATTTCGGTTGGGTTCCTTTAATTCCACTTACATGAATATGCCTTTTTCCCAATAAAACTATTTGATTGATTAAAGTATTAGTGTAGTTAGAACCAAACCAAATAAGATATTTTGTCAATTTATTTTAATGTGAAAGATAATTATTAAGGCAAAGTTCAAGATCATTCCAAAATTGTTTAGTTTCATTACATTCCCCAAAAGAAATGGCTGATGTCCTTATTGACAGCATTACAAAAGCTACAAACACTGTTGTCCACAAGATTCATTGTTAATAGTTCCTTCTTTGTGTAGATAATTCCATGTTGAAATCTGTACTGAAAATCTAAAAGTTTTATAACCTTCAGTTTACATCGATAAACAGTAAATATCGTTTTACAATTAAAATCACAGTGACAAATTTATTGCCATTAATCACAAACTTTAAGAATATTTTCATTTGATATTAATTTATCATAAACGTTTCTAGCGCCTCTTACAAATTCTGTAAAATTATTTTTCTAGTTTTCTGGATTGTTTTTTCCACATGATTCTGGTATATTGAAGATTACATATCTATAGTCTAATATTGTACCTTTATCGGATCTTTTAGTTTCAGTTCTTCAAATGACATCAATCCTTTTTCATTGCATATATTTTTAATTGAGTAAATTTCAATATTAGCCCATTGCTTTTTGTAGTATGTTGCTTGTCTGTTCTAGATGACAATTGATGAGGATCTTTTTAAAAGTATGACACAGAAACCGATTTTATCCATTTGAAACTGGTTATGTCGAATGAACCAGTAAGTTACATGAAATGGTAGTCAAATCTGTAGATCATATCTGTTTAATTATAAGAATATAATTGTACAACTTTTTTGTTTCAGACCACTTCAGTAATCCCAAACAGGACAATCTAGTCAGTAAGTACTGAAATATTTCATCTGTGAAAGCAATGTCAAACTCAAGGTAATTCAGTTGATTAGAAAATATACAGGTACAATTTCAGCAATGAATTAGCTAATCCTGAATAATTGAAGCCTGCTGGTTACATACTGATTGATACAGAGGCGCATGAAATAGACTGCTTCTTAAGTTTAAATGGACAAATTACCCACACTCGGTAAGGATGTGATACCTCGAGCATTACCAGATCAGAAACTTCAAAGGGTGTCAAATCTTGTGATCAATTTGATTCACTATATCCAGTCACTAACACCGTACCGATGTCTCTCTGAACATACTTCCCTCCCAACCAAGTAAAACTGCTTATGTCGATGTGTGAAATTTGCTTAAGCTTGTAATTTCTTCACTTTTACGAGCACCTGACTGAACATCAAGTGACTTTATCTTGCACTGCTTGTCTGGCATTGGTCGTCTCAGAAACCAATGAACCAACGAAATCCAAGTTCACATACTCATTCCCACCAATAATTTAAGCTGCATGCGTTCTCAAGGATGAAATGGCCTTAAGTTGAACAGACTTTTTCAAGATGTATTTAACGTTTGACATAAAATTGTGTTCATATCAGTGTGACTTTGCTTTAAATGATGATCAAAATAAGTAGTTTGTTTGAATATTTGGGATGTTATATTCGGTGCATGGACGATACCAAAAACAAATAGTGGTTGCACAAAATATTGTGAAACTCGGCAGTAATTATTGCACCATCATAATGCTGGAATGTTAAAAAAGTCCCGAAAAATATAATTTGCTATTTTGAAAAAAAATAGGTTTTCAAATATATGAAACAACATCTTTATTGAAAGCATTCAACCAAGAGAATGGAAACAATAAGAAACACGAGACAATAAGCAATCACTTGAAGGTGAAGAGTCAAGTTCACCAAATATAATTAAAGAAAACTTTCAGTGGATCAGTGTATTACAGATTGCAAAAGCTTAAGAAAAAAAGCTTATACATGTAAGTTTTTTAATGTGAAATTTACACGATGTGCGGCTTTTCAATTGGACGAGAGGTCGGTCACATGACCCCGAAACTGAAGTTCATAAGTCCATGAACGACACATTTTGACGTTCACACGTTTTTCACGGGACTGCATTCTTGAAATGACGTCAACACTGATGGAATACCGCCACATTCCCAGGGAAATTCCATTGCACAAATAAATACAGAAGCGTTGTTTCTCATCATTTGGACCCTTTTATATTGAACTAAGCATGATTCTTACGAAAGTCTACTTCTATTACATTTTAGCATATATTGGAAGAATACATAAGAGAGTTTGATTGCATGCCCGTTCAAGGATATCCTTGCTACAACCCATTCTTGAGAACAAAACGAAGAAAAGCACATCCCAACTATTGTTGTATCTACTTGATCCATGTCTTTACAACAGTGACAGTCTACAACGATCTATGAATTAACTTTTGTATCTATTTGATACCTTTTAAATGATGGGCCAATTGATCAGTGATACCTAACACTTGAAATAGCCAAAGGTTTATTTATAACTTCGGAAATATCGTGTTGGCCATTTTGACGTCTTGTACTTGATGTAAATATATTACGAGGAGCTGTCATTATGACGTAGCTCTTAACATACCTATCTCATCTAATGAGAATAATATTTGAATACATTTGTTGTGAAGAAACTTCAAAAGTAGAGCATGTTGAGCATACACCCGCTCATTTCACCTGTTGTCTTAAGGAACTGTTTATTCTGCGTTACAGCATGTTGTTGTATGGCTGTCAGTGTATACATGAACTCACACCTACTATATATAAGTGTGTGTAGATCTAGGTCTACCCCCTTTGGGGTAATAAATAGTGATATGAATAATTATAAGAATTGAACCTTCATAGAGTGAGGGCCAAACTGAACGTTGAAGCTTGTGAAAGTCAATTCTTAAAGCAAACAATACTTTTTTCAAAACTGAGGGAAGTGACATGCTTTGCATGCAATGTACCACCTTTCTCAGATAGATAAAAATATATTACAAAAAAACATACTTTATATTTATGTTTCTCGCCATTATCAAATAAGGTACTTTATTGCTTCTCAAATATATGATATTACACAGAGATAGCCTTGGAAGCTATTCTTGCTGAGTTAGAAATTGTATGTCTTTCAACTTTGTTGTACTAGACCGGTATTCAATATCATATTCATCGTTGCAGATTTAGAAACTTGGGAGAAATGTGAGAGTTGTTACATGTATGTTTCAATACTTTCATTCTCAATATTAGACAAGAACTATTTGAATACTGACACTGACATATACTTGCAGGTGATGCAAGGCAACTTATCAAGCAGTCCGATTCAAACAAGCATGTATCTACAAACGCTGAGAGGTCTGCATACAATGTACTAAAACAATATGGATCTGTCTTCATTAAAGGAAAGTCAGGCTCAGGGAAAACTACACTTGGTCGAAAGATTTTAGCAAGAATATCAACTAAAACAAGCCGGTTGCCAATCGTGCTTTCATCAAGGGGTGAATGGAATCTGATTACTAAAGTAAATCACGAGAACCTCGAAGGGAACAAAAGTGTTGCACAGACTAGGTATGTGGTGTTAATCGATGATATATTTGGATCAAGTAATCTGGTTGCATCACAAGTGGATGAGTGGGTAACGTTGTTTGACCAAATTTGGTCAAACGTGGAATCAGGTCATGTATTTCTTGTCATTACCTCCAGACCTGAAATATACTCACAGTGTAAAGAAAAAATAGGAAAGTACCAGCTCATGAAAACTATTCAGTGTATGGATCTAGGTGAAGGAATTTATGATCTCACACAAGTAGAAAAACTTGAAATGGTAGAAAAGATATGTGGAGATAAATGCTTTTCACATGATCAACGGGAGTCAATTGTTGGAATGCAGACTGTCCTCGGGTTTCCCCAGTGTTGCACGTTCTTTGCATCAAGCAAGGAAGCACAAGCAAAGGGTGTGGAGTTCTTCAGAAAGCCCTGGCAATTCGTCCTAGGGGAAATTAATAGAATGCATGAAAATGATGGTATGGGTTACCTTGTGCTCCTTCTCATTTTGATGAAAGATGGTTGCCTCAGCTCAGATCATCTGAAACTCCCTACATATAAAACAGAACTGAAGCCCTTGGCTGAAGAACTTAAAGAATGTTGTGTAGCGCATCTCGAAATTACAGCTGCAGGCATTGAGTCAAAGATAAAGGCTTTCCGTGGAGTGTACTTAATTCAAACAGGAAAGGATTACCAGTTCCAACATCAGTCTATATATGACTGTGTATTTATCAATATTTCAAAATCGCAACTTAAACTTGCAATAAGTAACTGTCCACCAAAGATGCTGGTGGAATTGGTGGACACACAGCAGATGAACAAGAATGAGACAGTAGTTAGCCTATGCCCACAAAGCTTCCATGTGTTAGCTGACCGCATCACGTATCATCTTCTGTCAGAAAGTTACAGTGTCATACTTGATCATCCTTCTCTACGTCATGAGGAATTTGTGGAGGTTCTGACTAAAAGATGGCGGGACAAAAACAGGTTAACTGAAGTTATACAGAAAAAACATGATACGAAAGATGTCACTGTTTCCCTTCCCTTTTTTGGGAGATATGGATATTGTGATTTTAAGTCACTTACCCTTTTGCAATATACTTCCCTTATCTCTGATGTCATTTTACAGAAGTTGACATTAATCCTGAATGACATACTGTCTGACGTGTTTCAACATGTTGATGCAAGCGAACTGCTGGCACCTGCTCTGTATATCCAGGATAACCAGCTAGTGCGAAAGCTGCTAGATCAGTGTAAGACACCTCCATCTGACTGTTTCCTAGCACTCTGTGTTTCACCAGGTATTGATCAAGATATCAAGGAACGTCTGACACAGAATATAACAGAGATACCACAGCCACACAATTCACTCCTTGTCACTGTGTTAGCTGGAGAAAAGTACTTAGTGGAATGTATACTACGCCATATTAAAGTAGATAGGAATATTGTGTCATGGTATGAGGATATTTTGAAGTTATCGTTGCTTCTCAAAGGGAGGATGTGTTCAAGCAGTTTTCCAAACACTTGTCAAGATCCAAAAACCACGTGTGAAATCTTACACATGTTGATTGCGTTGATACCTGCCAACCGCCCTCTTCAAGGTATCACAGATGTAGATGGTAATACACTCCTGCATCTAGCAGTTCAGACAGAAAACATTCACTACACAAAAATGTTCTTAGGTAAACAAAATGTCCCACATCTTCCATTAGATCCTACTTGCAAACAATGGGTGAATACACATGGACATACTCCCTTACACCTAGCAGCAAAAAGTGGAAGAAGTGAGACAGTGAAGCTACTCCTAGATAAGGGTGCTGATGTATCTACACAAGATAAATATCATAGGACTCCTCTATACATGGCAGCACAGATCGGAAGTAGTGAGACAGTAAAACTACTCCTAGACAAGGGGGCTGATGTATCTGCACAAGATAAATATCATAGGACTCCTCTATACATGGCAGCACAGATCGGAAGTAGTGAGACAGTAAAACTACTCCTAGACAAGGGGGCTGATGTATCTGCACAAGATGTATATCATAGGACTCCTCTATACATGGCAGCAATGAGTAAAAGTAGTGAGACCGTGAAACTACTCCTAGACAAGGGGGCTGATGTATCTATACAAGATATAGATCGTGCTACTCCTCTACACCTGGCAGCACAGATTGGAAGTAGTGAGACAGTGAAACTACTCCTAGACAAGGGAGCTGATGTATCTACACAAGATAGAAATGGTGCTACCCCTCTACACCTGGCAGTCAAGGATGAAAGTTATGAGACAGTGAAACTTCTCCTAGACAAGGGGGCTGATGTATCTATACAAGATGAAGATGGTAAGACTCCTTTACACCTGGCAGTAATAAGTGGAAGTAGTGAGACAGTGAAGCTACTCCTAGACAAGGGGGCTGATGTATCTACACAAGATAGAAATGGTGATACTCCTCTACACCTGGCAGCACAGATTGGAAGTAGTGAGACAGTGAAGCTACTGCTAGACAAGGGGGCTGATGTATCTGCACAAGATAAAGATGGTGCTACTCCTCTACACCTGGCAGTAAATAGTAGAAGTAGTGAGACAGTGAAGCTACTCCTAGATAAGGGGGCTGATGTATCTACACAGGAAAAATATGGTGCTACTCCTCTACACCTGGCAGTAAATAGTAGAAGTAGTGAGACAGTGAAACTACTCCTAGACAAGGGAGCTGATGTATCTACACAGGATAAACATGGTACTACTCCTCTACACCTGGCAGTAAATAGTAGAAGTAGTGAGACAGTGAAACTACTGTTAGACAAGGGGGCTGATGTATCTGCACAAGATAAATATGGTGCTACTCCTCTACACATGGCAGCAAGGGATGGAAGTAGTGAGACACTGAAACTACTCCTAGACAAGGTAGCTGATATATCTACACGAGATCAAGATGGTAAGACTCCTCTACACACGGCAGCAAGGTATGGAAGTAGTGAGACAGTGAAACTACTCCTAGACAAGGGAGCTGATGTATCTACACAAGATCAAGATGGTAAGACTCCTCTACACATGGCAGCAAGGTATGGACGTAGTGAGACAGTGAAGCTACTCCTAGATAAGGGGGCTGATGTATCTACACAGGAAAAATATGGTGCTACTCCTCTACACCTGGCAGTAAATAGTAGAAGTAGTGAGACAGTGAAGCTACTCCTAGATAAGGGGGCTGATGTATCTACAAAAGATCAAGATGGTAAGACTCCTCTACACATGGCAGCAAGTTATGGAAGTAGTGAGACAGTGAAACTACTCCTAGACAAGGGAGCTGATGTATCTACACAAGATAAAGATGGTGATACTTTTCTACACCTGGCAGCAAAGAGTGGATGTAGTGAGACAGTGGAACTACTCCTAGACAAGGGAGCTGATGTATCTACAAAAGATCAAGATGGTAAGACTCCTCTACACCTGGCAGCAAGGAGTGGAAGTAGTGAGACAGTGAAACTACTCCTAGACAAGGGAGCTGTTGTATCTACACAAGATAGAAATGGTAATACTCCTCTACACCTGGCAGCACAGATTGGAAGTAGTGAGACAGTGAAGCTACTCCTAGACAAGGGGGCTGATGTATCTGCACAAGACGATGGCAGTAAGACTCCTCTACACCTGGCAGCAAAGATTGGAAGTAGTGAGACACTGAAACTACTCCCAGACAAGGGAGCTGTTGTATCTACAAAAGATAGAAATGGTGCTACTCCTCTACACATGGCAGCAGGGAGTGGAAGTAGTGAGACAGTGAAACTACTCCTGGACATGGGGGCTGATGTATCTACAAAAGATCAAGATGGTAAGACTCCTCTACACATGGCAGCAAGGGGTGGAAGTAGTGAGACAGTGAAACTACTCCTAGACAAGGGGGCTGATGTATCTACAAAAGATCAAGATGGTAAGACTCCTCTACACCTGGCAGCACCGAGAGGAAGTAGTGAGACAGTGAAGCTACTCCTAGACAAGGGGGCTGATGTTTCTACACAAGACAATGTCAGTAGGACTCCTCTACACCTGGCAGCAAGGAGTGCAAGAAGTAAGACAGTGAAACTACTCCTAGACAAGGGATCTGATGTATTTACAAAAGATAGAAATGGTCAGACTCCTCTACACCTGGCAGCAGAGAGTGGAAGAAGTAAGACAGTGAAACTACTCCTAGACAAGGGAGCTGATGTATCTACACAAAACAATGTCAGTAGGACTCCTTTACACCTGGCAGCACAGATTGGAAGTAGTGAGACAGTGAAACTACTGCTAGACAAGGGGGCTGATGTATCTACACAAAATAAAGAAGGTGATACTCCTCTACACCTGGCAGTAAATAGTAGAAGTAGTGAGACAGTGAAGCTACTCCTAGATAAGGGGGCTGATGTATCTGCAAAAGATAGAAATGGTGATAGTCCTCTACGCCTGGCAGCACAGATTGGAAGTAGTGAGACAATGAAACTACTCCTAGACAAAGGGGCTGATGTTATCTATCCAAGATAAAGACTGTGCTACTCCTCTACACCTAGCAGTAAATAGTAGAAGTAGTGAGACAATGAAATTACTCCTAGACAAAGGGACTGATGTTATCTTCACAAGATAAAGATAGTGCTACTCCTCTTCACCAGGCAGTAAATAGTAGAAGTGAGACAGTGAAACTACTCCTAGAAAATGGTGCCGATATATCTAAAGAATACAACGGTGGCCTCACTTCACTACTCCTAGCAAAAGTATCAAGGGGAAATAGTAAGATACTGCAACTGCTCCTTCACCATGGTGTCGATGTTCACTTGGCTGTAAGGGAGAGAGTATTGTTTTACGCCGCTTTTAGCAATATTCCAGCAATATCACGGCGAGGATACCAGAAATGGGTTTCACACTTGGCTGTAGAGAGTGGAAGTAGTGAGACAGAATGCAATTGCTAGATAGGAAATGAAATTGTTTAACCAAAGACAAGAACAAGGACAATTGATGATACACTGACTGCATGAATACAGGGAGGAAGTTGTTCTTCCCAGAAACCATCAAGAGTCCACCAGTCACTCATTTTACTCTCCCTGCAAGGGAGATAACTGCTGAACCTCCCCTACCCCGGACAACAGCTCCACTCATGCTAGTTACTCACATTCCAATGATTGCTTGGCTTACCCACGATGAGAGCGGGCATATCACAATTGTCAGTGACCAGCACAGTGAGAAATTTACTGACACCGATCAACACAATATGGAAAATCCTTCTTGACGAAATCTGCATCAGACAATTTAACATTTACGACTAAATTAATCAAACATGTGAGATCATAATGACATGTCTATGACTCCAATAAGTTATCAAATATATTAACACTTGTCATAACTGTATATACTATATTGGCAACAGTGTGAGAGGATAAATAGCAGCGACATGTGGTCTTACCACTATTTGATAGTGTTTCAGAAGCACCTGCTAAAGGTATATAGTCGGAATCATAGAATGGGCTGTTTATGGCAGATTGTTCGTATAGTTTTGGAAAGGGGTTTACCATGGTTATTGTTTCTATCAGATGCCAATTTTGTATATAATCTTTTCAATTTCTATTTTATGATAATATTACAATTTTACATATACAGCAATGAACAAAGATAACTTATCATCAATAGTGTTAACATGATTAACCACAGGACATTCGGATATACCGGTATATGCAAATCTACCGTTGGAGATGTATCTGTTCAAGATTTGGAGTGTTTGCATTTTATGTAGCTTGTCTTTTATTGATTATCATAGAAATTGATAGTCCCCGTTTCGGTGGATTAAACATGAAACAATTCAAAGCTATGATTGACGTGTATGTTTGGTCATCGTGTATTTTTGTCTTGGACTACAGTAAAACACGTCATGAAATCATGAAGAAGATATGTGTCGTTCATTAGGATTAGGAACAAGAATGTATTGGCCTCTACACTTGAGTGTCATGACCTTTGTACATTTTTAATTGCTAACATTAATGATATATATTCTGTGCATGCCCCATGAATTGAAGTGGTAATCACTCACTCGACACTGTTTGTAGCGCCTAGACATTATTCCTCACTTGGCAGTCATATAAATATACATTTTATTATCTGCTTAAATTATTCACTCATTGGGAGCGGTCGGGTAGCCTAGTGGTTAAAGCGTTCGCTCGTCACGCTGAAGACCCGGGTTCGATTCCCGTCATGGGTACAATGTGTGAAGCCCATTTCTGGTGTCCCCCGCCGTGATATCGCTGTAATATTGCTAAAAGCGGCGTAAAACCACACTCACCTACTATTCACTCATTGTTTTGAAAAGTATAACTTTTTGCAAAGTTTACAGACAGTTGACACAGGGCTTTGCGTGACAGACAGGTGTGTGTTGGTTACTGATGTCGTCGCACACTGGGCTTTGTGTGACAGACATGTTGGACTCTGTTCATCGTTCTTATTTGTTGAATGTATTTGAAAAGCACGGTGTCAGCTCTAAGATGTCCAAAATGTTAAAGTCAATTTATGGTAATGTCAAGTCATGTGTCAGAAGTAATAACCTGTTGTCAAACCAATTTCAATGTAATTTAGGTGTTAGAAAAAGTTGCGTTTTAAGACCCTTCTTATTTCAATTATTGATGAATGAAATAGAACAGGAGCAGTTATCTGGAGTACAGTTACATCCTGATATTATTGCTCTTCGCAGATGATTTGATTATAATTTCAGACACTATTAGGGGATTACAGAAGGAATTATCTATCTTAGATAATTATTGTGTGGACTGGAGTATGTCAGTATTGAAAAAAACTAAAATTTTAGTTTTTCAAAAAGTTGGGCGGCTGAATAAAAGTGATAAATGGTATCTGAATGGACAACTTGTGGAAGTCACACAAGGGGTATACATGTTTAGGTTTGTTTTTTAGCAGCAGGCTGTCTTGGACACTAGTCTTAAGCAACATAGCAGTTCCGAGCTAAAATGGTACTAATCAACCTATTAAAATACATTAATTGTTTATAGCCTTATTCTCCAAAATTTCTTTTCAGATTGTTTGACTCCAATTGAGCGAGTGAGTGAATGAGGTTTTACGCCGCTTTTAGCAATATTCCAGCAATATCATGGCGGGGGACACCAGGAATGGGGTACCCATGTCGGAAATCGAAACCGGGTCTTCGCCGTGACGAGCGAACGCTTTAACCACTAGGGTACCCGACTGCCCAGTTTGACTCGAAGATATCACCTATGTTACTGTATGGGTCAGAATATGGGCATTCCATAAAATGGAAGTTGAGAAAGTTCATTTATATGCGTGTAAATGGTTATTGAATGTTAAACAATGCACATCAAGTAGTGCTGTATTGGTTGAATGTGGCAGAGTCCCTTTACATATAAATGCAATGATGAGAGCTTTTAAATATTGGCTACGTTTAATGTGTATGCCGGGTACCCGCTTACCTAAGGAGAGAAGAATCGGGTTACTAATATTAGAACAACGTTTTTTTCTCTCGGATTCGGTCATGTTTGGATATCACAATCACCCGGTAATGTACAGGTATTTACTGCGATGTTATTGCAATGTTTGAAAGACAAATATGGTACTGAAGTTTATGTAATAGCTCTAAAAATGTCGTTCTATTCTTATTTTAAATTAACGTTGAAGAGTGAAGAGTATTTGTAATGTGTAAACGTGAGTAAATTCCGGTCATGTATGTCAAGGTTTGGTGCAGTGCACACTGGCGCGAAATAGAAACTGGTTGAAAACTTAATATCCTTCGTAAAGAAAGATTTTGCAAACTTTGTAAATTAGGCCTAATAGAAGACAGGTTTCATTTCTTGCTATTGTGCCCTTCATATACCCACATTCGCCATCTCTATATTCCTTCAAAATATCATCTACACCCAATTGTCCATTAGTTTAATATTCTCTTTTCTACAACTAACACAAAGATCATTATTAATATTGCTAAATATCTGGATCCCAGTAAAGAACACATATTTTATCATTGTGACGATGGCCATAAATATGTCGTACATTTTGTACAAAGAGCCTGCGTCCTGTATAGCACTGAATAATGAATTCAATGTGTGGGTATGTTACTGATGTCACACACTAGGCTTTGTCTGACAGACAGGTGTGTGTATGTTACTTATGTCATATACTAGGCTTTGTCTGACAGACAGTTGTGTGTATGTTACTGATGTCATACACTAGGCTTTGTCTGACAAACAGGTGTGTGTATGTTACTGATGTCACACACTAGGCTTTGTCTGACAGACAGGTGTGTGTTCGTTACTGATGTCACACACTAGGCTTTGCCTGACAGGCAGGTGTATGTGTGTTACTGATGTCACACACTAGGCTTTGTCTGACAGACAGGTGTGGGTATGTTACTGATGTCACACACTAGGCTTTGTCTGACAGACAGGTGTATGTGTGTTACTGATGTCACACACTAGGCTTTGTCTGACAGGCAGGTGTGTGTATGTTACTGATGTCACACACTAGGCTTTGTCTGACAGACAGGTGTGTGTATGTTACTGATGTCACACACTAGGCTTTGTCTGACAGACAGGTGTGTGTATGTTACTGATGTCACACACTAGGCTTTGTCTGACAGACAGGTGTGTGTATGTTACTGATGTCACACACTAGGCTTTGTCTGACAGACAGATGTGTGTTGGTTACTGACATCACACTCTGGGCTTTATGTGACAGATATCTGTGTATCGTTACTAATGGTGGAGTAAATTAGCGAATACATGCACACCCTCATTATGGTCAATATCTGTTCTGTACACATGTTAATGTACCAAGGTATGCCGCATGATTCATTTTCATTGTAAATACTGTAGTCTAAAAAGCAAAACAAACATATATTTTACTTAAACAATGTTTGAAGTATAAGGAACCGATTGTTTAACCATTTGTTAATGTATCATAAAATTATGAAGGTAGAATGTACTCATAAATGTATTTTCATGTGTGTGGGTTTTTTTTTCCTTTTTTACTGTAACATGTGACCAACAATTGGAAACAAATTAAATAACACTGAAAAAAAATGCAATAATGTGTATATGATCCTAGAATTGGCGTGTCAGGGGATTTCTCACAGGATTGTTATCAGATTTATTGAAATGGCTTTCATGTAAGCAGTCGAAAATGCCATTTTTACCATATCTGAATGTTATCAGATTGAGTGTCATTGGTTATGTTACATTTGCAACATACTTGGCAAAATACTTTATTGGTATTAGTATTAGTATTTTAATATATACGTTTACCCCTTTACCAAGACAAGTATCAACTCACAACTGGAGTTCATACATGAATATATGGGTAGATGACCATTGTGTAGAAACTTATGTTGTTTGCTTTTGCCTGCTTGTACTTGAATTAAGAATTGTGTAAATATATACAGTATTAGAAATAATCCAGACTCGTTCAGGTTATCTAGAGAGCGGCAATTGTTTTCTTAGGCTCAACCACGTGATACATCCTGTACATCCAACAGGTTAGTT